TGCATGCCCTTGACCAGAATCGAACCCGGGACCCTTGAGTCCGCAGGCCGACGCTCTATCCACTGAGCCAAACCGGTTTCGGCTGAAAAATTATTCTTAATTAAAAACATTAAAACGTTTTTAATGTGCAATACAAGTGAAATAATCTTTATGCAGCAAACCAAACACACTTGTTAATCTGGACAGCTGTGTCGCCGCCACGCACCAGATGCTCAGTCTGCGGAACTTAATGGACCTTCACGGTCGGAGAACAAAAGAGAACCAGGAACCAGTGCTCCAATTCTCCATTAAGCTCTTTGCCTAGATGCTATGATACTTTGCTATAAAAGATCGGAGAACGGGGGGAGGGGGGAGAGGGGAGGCTGGGGGAAGGTCAATGGGGGGAGGGGGAAGAACACATATGTACTACTATTGGTAATACTTTAAAAAAATAAATTAAATTAAAAGAAGAAAAAGATCAGAGAATGGCCGGCCGGTGTGGCTCAGTGGTTGAGCATCGACCTATGAACCAGGAGGTAAGGGTTCGATTCCCGGTCAGGGCACATGCCCGGATTGAGGGCTCCGTCCCCGGTGTGGGGTATGCAGGAGGCAGCCCATCCATGATTCTCTCTCATCATTGATGTTTCTCTCTCTCTCCCTCCTCTCTAAAAATAATAAAAATATATATATATATTTTTTAAAAGATCAGAGAATGGGTCCTTGTGTAACTGCATCACCCAACTGGGTCAGGACACAAGCTTCAAAGGCAACAACAAGTCTGGCCGCCCGTCCACACCAGCCATTTTATAAACAGAAAACGTTTAATACAGAAACCGGGACGACAGGAATAAACGTGCAGATTTGAAAGCGATCCCCACTGCGATAACAAGCGGGACGCTGTAAGGGGTCGGCCACAGCGGAGATCTGCCATGCGGTGTGTCATTACACTGGAAGTCTCTCTCTGTTTGCTATGGCTTTTCAAAGAGCCAGGTTTTAGGCAAAAAAAATAAATAAAAAAAAATAAAAAATAAAAAAAAATAAGACAGACCAAAGAAATGCTGTGTGCTTTGGATAAGGGCAGTGGGGAACCCCTATACTCTTTGTGGGCACTGCCAGAGATAACCAGGAGGAAGGCGTGAGTAAAGAATGAAAGAATAGCCCTAGCCAGTGTGGCTCAGTGGGTAGAGTGTTGGCCCGTGGACTGAAGGGTCCCGGGTTCGATTCCGGTCAAGGGCATGTACCTTGGTTGCGGGCACATTCCCCAGTAGAGAGTGTGCAGGAGGCAGCTGATCGATGTTTCTCTCTCATCGATGTTTCTCCCTCTCCCTTCCGCTCTTTCTAAAAATCAATGGGGGGAAAATATGAAAGTCTCATTAAGTGAATGATGGATAAAATAAAATAAAATAAAATAAATCCATGGGAAAATGCACTTTTGTGAGGATTAACAAAAAAACAAAACAACAAACAAAAGAAGAACAGTAAATGAGAAGCCCTTCCACCAGAACGTTATAAGAGAGCCAGATGGAGAGAAAGGGGCCCATTATTGACACACAAACAATGGGACCAAAGCAATTATTCTAAGATGGCTGCGCTCTGGAATGTCCCCAACGAAAAAAACAAACCTCAGAATCAACTCTGAAGAAGGTGCCAACTAATGAACAGTGATCTCCTTTGGTTTATTTTAGAACACACATAAAAAACAGAGAAGGGGAAAGCAAAAGTGACCAGATTCCTGCAAGAAATGAAGGTGACAGGCGTCTCCTAAATCAAAAGGAATTACATTAGCTGGCAAACGTGTCCTGGCTCAGTGAAATATGTCAGCCTGCGAACTGGAGAGTCCCGGGTTCGAATCTGATCAAGGGCACGTGCCCGGGTGTCAGGCTGGATCCCCAGTGGGGGGCGGTGGCGTGGGAGGCAGCCCATCAATGGTTCTCTCTCATCATTGATGTTTCTCTCTCTCTCTCTCTCCCCTCTCTCTTCTTCTCTGAAATCAATAAAAATCTATTTTTTTTTTTTAAATTAGCTGGCAAGCAGAGTAGGTATGTATCAAACCTGCAAAGGTGATAAGGAAAATGAAGGTGAAAATAAAAAGGAAAGAGAGGAAAATGAGAGGAAAAGATTGTTGTTCCTTGGTACCTGTCATCTGGTTTATTTCAAGCTCAAGGAAAGACCAGGAAAAACACAGAAACCAGGGAACAAGCTGGCTTCGTAGCAAGGAGCAGTCACACACTTGTGTGTCTGCCCGGCAAGGCGGGCGCTGCGGCCGCTCGAATGACTAAGTAACCGGCTTAACTGCATTTGACACTCGATCCCTGAGCTTCTGAAAAGCACTTAATACAGTGGCTCATGAAATCTTAATCTAAAAATGTTCCCCCGTTTATAATCGGGCTGCATCACACTGACAACTGGGAAGGAGGGCCACGCAGAGGCAGGAGATATTTAGAAGCATGCGTGGAAATTGATATCATCGGAGACTAGCACTTTGAGAGATTTCCCCCCTTTTTTTTTTTTTTAAAGAATAAAATAAATCTGGAGTCTAAAAAGGAGTTTAAATTATAAGGAAAAAAAACCTAACGGAGAAAAATGAATGCTCTAATTTAATAAGAGAGAAAAATGAACAAAATGTAACGCGACTTGGAAAACCCCACAGTCGCCTACAATAAAACCTGGAATATGATTAATGAATCGCAGGGAGAGAAATAAACTCCTGATCGAAAATACTGGGTGTGGACATGAAGCAAACTGTATAAAATGGCAACAGAGCATTGTATTCAGCAAATCTATAATGTTTATTATTATGTGCCGGGCACTAAGCTAAGTGCTTCAGTATATAGTATCTCATGTACCATTCAAAAAACCCTTTAAGTACCATTATTACTATTATTAATAATCTCTCTCTCTGATTTTGTACAGAGAGAAAGAGAGAGGGACAGAGTTAGAAACATCGATGAGAGAGAACCATCGACCAGCTGCCTCCTGCACACCCCCCTACTGGGGATGTGCCCGCAACCAAGGTACATGCCCTTGACCGGAATCGAACCCGGGACCCTTCAGTCCGCAGGCTGACGCCCTATCCACTGAGCCACACCGGTTTCGGCCTTAGTACCATTATTATTCCTGTTTTATTGATGAGCACACAGAGGCCTAAAGTAACTTGCCCAAAGTTACGGCTAGAAAGAAGCGAAGCTAGGATTCAAGTCCAGGCACTATGACACCCAAATCTGTGCCCCTAACCTCTCTGGACCCCCTAGCATTTAAACATCAAGAGTGAGATAAATGGGCTGGGAGTGAAACACAGTCATGAACTTGACAGATGGAGAGTCAACAGAGCACCCTTTACCCCTGGCTCTGTGCCGACCAGGGGCCGCCCCAGGCCTTAGTTTCCTCACCTGTGCATTGAGGAGAAAGATTAAATGAGCTCTACCTAAGCTGTTTTCAGCTCTAAAATGCCACAAGTCCAGCCCTAGCTGGTTTTGCTCAATGGTTAGAGCATCGGCCTGAGGATTAAAGGGTCCCGGATTCCATTCCGGTCAAGGGCGCATGCCTTGGCTGCACGTTCCCCAACCCTGGTCGAGCTGTGTGCTGGAGGCAACCAGCCGATGTGTCTCTCTCTCACATCGATGTTTCTATCTCTCCCACTCTCTCTAAAAATCAACAACAAAAAAATATCCTCAGGTGAGGATTAACAAAAACTAAAAAAGTAAATAATATGCCACAAGCCCAAACTGCATGGACTGGTCTGCTCTCTGACTGGTTAATGCAAAGGTTAATTCATCCTAAAACAGGCAAGCGGAGTGGTGTCAAAGTTCCCTGCCTCCTGACCTTCAGGAGATTATTATGTCATCTCATATGACAGAGGGCGGTCAGCGGATACTGTATGCTTTCTCTTTGGGACTCGACTTAATGTGGTTTTCACCAAATGGCTGCAGGTCACATGAACTCTGTCCAACCTACAGTCTCCCCAAATCCTTCTCACGAGCCGGTCACATCCCCGTAATGGAATGTAGGTGAACCTGACAGGCTGAATGAGAGGAATCGGAAGATTAAGAGAGGCCGTCCCCAGTTCGGAGGAAAGAGTTCCATGATGATTGAAAGAAGCGTGTATTTCTGGTAGAGTCTATTCTCTTTGACTACCCACTCTTGAGAGTTGAGACCACAAATTTCAAGGATGAGTGAATGCAACATCCACTTGCCAACTACCCCAGAAGTTATCCTTTCCAGGCAAGGCGCGCAAGTCACCCGGATAGCGGCTGCGAGTGGGGAGACAGACTTCACAGGTGGGTCGCGCCGTCCTCCCTGGGCGGTCCTTGCCAAGCATCCCTGACAGACAGGTGGCTGTCACCTGACCTCTGCCCGGACCAGACGCTTCCAAGGTCGAGGCAAACGCCTGGCGGGCAGCCACCTGCCCCCGCTGGACAGCTCTGCTCGCGGGAAAGCCCACGAAGCGCCTAGGACGGTGCTCGGAGCCCGGGCGAGCTCAGCAAGTGCGTCCCCAAGTGGGTCAAGAGCTGCCTTCCTACAACTTGAACCCGGCGCTCCTAGGTGTGTACCCCCTGGAGCAGAAACGCAGGGACCCCTAGGACACCCGGGGCTGCGATCAGGCCCCTTGGCCCACTAGTTCCTTTCAGGTGCGGATCCCGGACCTCCTCAGCGATCTGAGCCAGCACACCGCCCTCCCCAGAGGTCCCAAGAGTGCGCCCCGATGGGGCGATGGCCGGCGAGGGAGGCTCCAGTCCGGGATGTCCCCAGCCTCGGGAGCCGGGGCCCGAGGGGACAAAGGGCTTTCGGGCACGCGTACCGGCTGCGGGCCACGCAGCCTCCCTCCCGGCCACTTGGCGAATCGGCCCTGGGGACTCCCGTGGCGCCAGGTGACAGGCCCCGGGGTTTCCGGGGCGCGCGGGCAGCGGTGCGATCGGACCCCACCGAGCCGCGATGAGGACCGCGGGGGTTACAGGGGGTCTGACCCGACCGATTCGGGGCGCGATCGCGGCTCGGCGGGGTCCGCTCGGCCCCGGATTTACCTGTGCGTGGTTGACTTCGGAGGCCCGGCTCGCCCCCGGTCCGGTTCCTGCAGCTCCGCGGTGGCGCTCATGGAACAGCAGCCGGAACCCCTGGCCAGTGCGGCTCCCGCGGCTACCGGGCCCGCCCAGGCAACTGCCGCCACGCCCCTGACGACGGCCGCCGCCACGCCCCCAACCACGGAAGCCCGCGCTCATTGGGCGGCTCAGCCGCCGCTCTAAAAGCCCCGCACGCTCATTGGCCGACGGAGCTGCTCCTCAGCGTAAAGGCGGGGACCTTGAGACAGACAATTGGTTACTTTTGACGTCTTTGGCCCGTGAGCCGAGCCCTTATTGGACAAGGCCGGGAGGGGGGCGGGAAAAGGGAGGAGGGGGCTGAAACAAACACGGGCCGCGTTTGATGTTGCTGGGGGCGGGTGCTGAGAGGGAGGCAATTGTGATCTCCAGCTGGTTGGGGAGGATTGTGCACGCTCTGGTGTCATCTCGGGCTGGGAGGAGAGGAGGGCGACCATCTGGCAGCTTAGCTGCGGGATCTGATGGCGCCAGGCCGAACGACTGACTCACCTGTAGCCAAGGACACAGGGGGTGGAATCGGGGGTCCGGCCAGGGGAGAGAAGAGGGAGGAAAGTGAGGACCAAACCGCAAAGAGAGGGAAGAAGGTGGGGGCAGCCGCCTGGAATATGTTTCATGAACTGTAGGGGGGGTTCCTGCTAGCGAGGCTAGGAGACTGATTGGGTCGTGCGGGGCAGTGTGGACCTTAAGACGACCCTTGACCCTCAATGTGTGGGAGGCAGCCAGAAAGAATGCAGGCTTTGGAGTCTAACCTAGAACTGAGCCGCTGTTGCATTGCCATGAGCTAGTCACTTTAACCTCTGTGCATGCACCCTGATTTCATCCCAGCAATCGGGAGTAGCAATAGCAGTTGATAAGGTGAAATAACGCAGACGTAAACAATAACAACATGCCAGGCTTGGCTGGCATTCCGTCCACGCTGGTTCCCCACCTACTCACCCCCAGACGGTCTAGGGAACCAGGCCCTGTGCTAAAATTCTATGAGCCCCAAACAGCTTCTATAATGGCATGTGCTTTACCAAGAATTGAACACTTGACTGACTTGAAACGCAACTCTCTGGGGCTGACAGCACCACCCTATCGGGGGACAACAGGGCTGGAAGAGATGGGAGGAGCCATTTAGCCCGAGAAGGGAAGTGGCCTTTGCAGCAATGTCCATCAGCTGCCTCTTGCACACTCCCCACTGGAGATGTGCCCGCAACCAAGGCACGTGCCCTTGACCGGAATCGAACCTGGAACCCTTCAGTCTGCAGGCTGACACTCTATCCACTGAGCCAAACCGGTTTTGGCTAGGTCTGCCTTTGAGAGAACCCATAGCCACGGTGCTCCAGGATGAAAGAGGGGAAAGAATCCTTTGCCGATGCTCTATTTTGCATTCAGTTGTCATGTTTACCTAAAAAAAAAAGTTCACCTCGGCATTTATTTATTCCATCTTGGGAAAGAAAAATCCAGGCTTCTGTAGCAAAGGATTTTAGTGAGGGACCCCTCTAGTTCTGACTCTGTGTCAAAGCAATTTGGGGGTCCCAGAAAACAGCTTTAGATCTGTTTGCCAGTTGGGTGTGTGTGTGTGTGTGTGTGTGTGTGTGTGTGTGTCTGCTCCACTGTTTCCTAGTTCTGTGTCTTTAAATAGTTCTGCTTGGTGGCCGTACATATGTCTGCACGCGTGCTGGGGACACAGGCCTGGCCCAGTCCAGGGTTTGCCTCTGCTTGTGTTGGCAAAAGGATACTGAGATGATTTGTTGGGTCGTGAAAGGAAGGCATGAAGTGGCTCCTGAGATCCAGGGAGATTTCTCCGGCTTGACTCAAAGCCACAGAAAGCAGCTGGGAGGCGTAAACCCCGGACGGACTTACCACTGTGCCGGCTGGTGTTTCCCCGCCAGGTCAGGAACGTGGCTTCAGCCAACATTTCCAGAAAGGGACGTGTCCACCCAGTTCCGGAATGCTAACACATGATCGCGTCACAGCGGCTGGAAAAAGAAGCACAGAATGAAGCCCAAGGCAGAGGGGGGAGGAGGAAGAGACACACCCATCTTCTGCTTCGCACTGGCTGTGGCTTCAGTAAGGACCCCTGACACCTGCGACGCTTAGAATGGCTTTCTTCTTTGTCCGTGGCGCCTGTTTCCTCCCCTCTGCTTTGGCTCTCGCGATATGCTGTTGAGCCCTGTTATTTCATTCTATAAAGTTTTCCCGCGGGCGGCTATTTAAGAGACAGAATGGAGTCCAAGTCAGAGAGGCTTGGCCTGGGATGACTAGGCGTTAGCATGAGGCTGTGAAGGGCTCTTCCGGAAGCATGTGCGTGCCTTGTTATAAAGAGAACGAATGAACGAGGGGCCCTGACCGGTGTGGCTCAGTGGATAGAGCGCTGGTCTGCGGACTGAGGGGTCCCGGGTTCGATTCCGGTCAAGGGCATGTACCTTGGTTGCGGGCACATCCCCAGTGTGGGGTGTGCAGGAGGCAGCTGATCGATGTTTCTCTCTCATGGATGTTTCTAGCTCTCTATCCCTCTCCCTTCCTCTCTGTAAAAAATCAATAAAATATATTTAAAAAAAAAAGGGGGGGATTGAACATATAAAGGGGGACTGGTCTAAACTCCCCTGGGCCTCTCAGCAGGATTTCGCAGCCCTTTGGAAGGCAGCAGTGGCACAGCAGGTGGCATGCTGTTTATTTTCTCTCTGCAGAGTCAGTGCCTGCTTTTTCCGTATCCTTAAGGGATGGGTGAGAGCAATCCGCCCTGGCGCCTCTGCTGTTTGGCCTTGAATCCTGCCTCCGCCCTTCCTCGCCTGGTGATTTTGGGCGAGTACTCGCCTCTCTGTGGCCCCCTTTCCTCTGTAAAATTCGGGTGATGGGGTGTTGTGAGGAGCACATGAGAGCCTGACACATACTTAGTTCTTTTTTTCTTTTAATGTATTTCTTTATTGATTTCAGAGAGGAATGGAGAAGGAGAGAGAGAGAGAAACATCAATGATGAGAGGGGATCATTGATTGGCTGCCTCCTGCACACCCCCACTGGGTTCAAGCCCAAAACCCAGGCATGTGCCTTGGCAGGAATCGAATCTGGGACCCTTGAGTCGGCAGGATGACGCTCTACCCACTGAGCCACGCCGGCTAGGGCCACGGTTAGTTCTTAATAAGTCTTTGTCTAGTTATTCCAGACTCTTTCTCTAAGGCACTAACTCATTTTCTAAAGTTTCCATATAGACGTTCTTTTAAAAATAGTTTTAGATTAACACCAAAATTGGACACTAGGTTCCTATTTACCTATCAACCCAAAACATGAAGAATTTTTAATTTTTTAAAATATATTTTATTGATTTTTGTACAGAGTGGAAGGGAGAGAGATAGAGAGTTAGAAACATCAATGAGAGAGAGTCATTGATCAGCTGCCTCTTGCACACCCCCTACGGGGGATGTGCCCGCAACCAAGGTACATGCCCTTGACCGGAATCGAACCCGGGGCCCTTCAGTCCCTAAGCCGACGCTCTATCCACTGAGCCAAACCGGTCCCGGCTGATGGATTTTTTTATTGTTAATCCTCACCCGAGGATATCTTCCCATTGATTTTTAGGGAGAGTGGAAGAGAGAGGGAGAGACTGAGAGAAACATTGATGTGAGAGAGACACATCGATGGGTTGCCTCCTGCACAAGCTCCAACCAGGTCCCGGGCCAGGGAAGAGCCTGCAACTGAGGTCCATGTTGTTGACTGGAATCGAACCTGGGACCCTTGAGTCCGCAGACTGATGCTCTATCCACTGAGCCAAACCGGTTTCGACCAGATTTTTTTTTTTTTAAACCAGCAACATCTACCACCTGAAACTTTTCCTTCAGAATATCCTCACCAAAAGAGGATTCCAAGGACCACGTTATGATTTTTGAGCCTAAATTCATCAACTTAGTCACTGTGAGGGAAATGGGAAAGGACGTGGCTGTGAGAACAGAACTAGAAGGTGCAAGTTCGTGAACTTCCCTTGAAGGCCAAGATGGCACAGGCGCTGAGAAACCCAGAGATGACGGCCACTGCCAGTGCTGCCTGTGTGTAACTTGGCAGTGAGTTCAACATGCCCGATGCCAGGCCTCTGGGCCAGTCCTATTGATAGTGGAGGTAAAGTTTGCAAGTTTGAAGTCCCAGCATGCAATGATTCTATGATGTCTTTAGTTATTGGGAAAGCTTCCTGCTGGCCAAAAACAGGGATGAATAATCCCCGGGCTATGATTTGGGTTGCTTCCTTAAACCTGTGGGTGAAGCTGTCTATAATAAGATCATAGGATGCTTGCTTTCATGCCCAGCACAGCCTTGGAAAATTTTTAATAATGTCCTCTTTAAAAAAACACACAAACATACATACATATATATATATATATATAGATATATATATATATATCTATATATATATATATATATAATTGATTTTTTACAGAGAGGGATAGAGAGCTAGAAACATCGATGAGAGAAGAATATCGACCAGCTTTCTCCTGCACACCCCCCACTGGGGATGTGCCCACAACCAATGCACATGCCCTTGACCGGAATCGAACCCAGGACCCCTCAGTCCAGAGGCCGATGCTCTATCCACTGAGCCAAACTGGTTTCAGCAATAATGTCCTCTTTTCATTCTCAAATAGTCTCAGAGTTTGGATGACACAATATATGAAATACTTACACTTACACACATAGGATCCAGCGCTGTAAATGCCCAACACACATACACACACACACACACACACACACACACACACACTGAAAAGCTGTTCCAGCCTTACAATCAGATATATCCATGCTGTCAGGCTGGTGGTTGGCTAAAGATGCCTTCTTAGTCACCACGCATTCCCCTTCCTGATGTCATCCTTAATTACAGTAATAAACAGTAATAAAAGCTGAGTTCCTCATGCTGTCCACTCAAAAGATGTCAATAAAACTTGCATGTTAAATAAGGACATCACACACCCTGCATCATTTCATGTTACTGAGCTTTTGTTTATATTAATATTTTTATTGATGTCAGAG